GGCGGGCGGGGGCGGGGCCGCCGGAAACGGGACAGCGGGCACGTCAGCCCCGGCACCTTCTTCGAGAAGTTCTCGGCCGCGGAGGGCGGAGGGGCTGGCGTCAGCCCAGGGCAGCCGGCGGTGCCGGCGGCGGCAGCGGGGGGTCCGCCGGGGAGCGCGGGCACGGAGCGCGGCGGGGGCACCCCCCACGACAAGCCCCTGACCTCCCCCTCCTGGGGCAAGGGTGGCGAGCTGCTGCTGGGGGAGCAGCCTGACCTGATGTCCTCCCTGGACAGCGGCATCCAGAGCGTGACCAAGTCGGACGGCAGCTCCCCGCACGTGGACTTTCCCGACGAGGTCAGCACCAGCTACGGCAATGAGGACGAGGTGTCCTCCAGCTCCGACAACGCCGCCTCCAAGCCCACCCGCAGCCCGCTGCTGGGCGGCTCGCCCAAGCTGCCCCGCGGGGAGCACGCACTTCTCAATGGACAGAAGCCCCTGGCCCTCGGCCTCCTCAGTACGTCTACCTCGACCCCCGACAGCTACGGGCTCAGCACCACAGCGGGCGCCCACCCCGGCACGCCGGGCATGGAGCAGGTGCGGACCCCCACGAGCACCTCGGCCCAGGACGAGATCCACCCCCTGGAGATCCTGCAGGCGCAGATCCAGCTCCAGCGGCAGCAGTTCAGCATCTCGGAAGACCAGCCCTTGGGGCTGAAGAGCAAGAAGGGGGAGTGCGCGGGGCAGAACGGGGACAGTGACCTGGGCAGCTGCTGCTCGGAGGGCGTCAAGGGCGCCATGAGCACCATCGACCTGGACTCCCTGATGGCAGAGCACAACTCCACCTGGTACCTGCCTGGTGAGAAGGCCCTGATGGAGGGGCAGGAGGAGGACAAGCCCATGGCGCCCTGGGAGAAGCCCAAGCCCACGAACCCCAGCAAAGAAGGTATCGGTTGTCTCGTGCGGGTGGTGGCCCATGGTGGGTTGTGTGGGGAAGGGGAGGTGGTGGGGCTACAGCCCCAGGACATCAGGCACACGTCAGCCCCAGGTCTGCTCCACTCCTGGCAGGGACCACAGTGGGTGCTGGGCACCTTCCTGCTGTGGGATGCTGGGTGGCCCTGCCGGGGTGGCTGGTGGCAGGCATGAAGCACCCAGTGCATGGCTGTCCTCGGGTCACGGCCAGCCCCGTGGCCATCTCTGCCACCAGCCCCATCCCCATCGTGCCTCCTGGGGAGCAGCCCCCGAGGGCTGTGTCAGCCCGGGCTGGCACGGGGCTCCTGGGGGTGTCGAGTAGAGGGGCTCCTGGTGGAGCCCCAGCCGTGCTCCTGGGCCTGGGGTACCACGGGGGGGGCTGCAGGTGTGGGGTGTCGAGGAGGGGGCTCCCGCAGAGCCCTGCTGGGGATGGGGTGCTGAGGAGGGGGCTCCCGCAGAGCCCGGTGCCGGCCGAGCCTTCCAGCCGTTTCCCCCAAACTGTTAGAAGGATCTTCCCAAACCGTGAAAAACACAGATTTGTTAGTGGTGCTGCCCCTCCGCTTCCAGGTATTTCCCCCCCCGCGCTAAGAGCCTGCCAGCAGCGTGATACCGAGTGGAAAGGCTCTTAGCGTTTTTGTTTTTTTTTTCTTTAATAGAAAGGCAATTTAAAATAAGGCTCTGGGTCTGCTGGTGTAAAACTTGCTTAGTTGACAGATGTTTAATTTCGACATTAGTTGTCATTTTTGCTCCTTCCCTGTGTCCAGAGGGCATCATAATTCCCCAAGCCCAGGGAGAAAAAAAAATATTTTAATGGGAAGCCCTCTATTATAAAAGCTGTTTAAGATAAAGATGATTATAGATTCAATTGGTTTCTATTTTATCTTATCAAAGCCACGTTTTCCAAGCCGGCTGACCGTGTGTGTGAATATTACAATAGATGCACGTGCGTGTCTCTGCTGTATGAATGCACGCAGGCAATTTTTTGATGTGCTGTAAGTACACGCGCGTAATTTAAGCAATATAAACTCGTTATCCTAGGAAAGTTGGTGTTTTGGTAGTGCTAGTGCAGTTCGAAATTGTTTTTATTGCCGCTGGTTGTGCAGAGTGACTTTTTACAGTCCCCCGCGTTCAGTAATTTCGTTAAGAAGGGTGTTGGGAAAATCAAAAGGGGGCTGCTTGGAAAACCGGGCGATTTCCTACCCCCGGTTCTGGTTGGCTTTCCAGCTTTGGCTTTCTGAAGCGTGAATCCTAGCCCCCACGGTTTGTCTCTTTGTTCATGTTTAATGCCCAGCGCAGGAGACTCTCATTCCAGGCGGGAGTGTTTAGCATGCACAGCAGACTCTAGGAAGCCCATCAGCATTCTCCATGCTTCACCCAGGCAAGGACATAAATTGGTTTGTTTGGGGCCCTTCTTTTCCATTTTTAAATGGAGTTGCACACAGCATCCTTCCTGGCCCCTTCTCTTTTATTGTTTCTTGTACACAACATCTAGATCTGACTGGATCAATAGCTAGTTAGCACAAATCACAGTTCCTGTCACTTCTACCTTGGCAGACCCGAACACATATATACGTTCTCTCACAACACACACACACACACGCACCCCCCCGTTCCGTGTGCACTCTCACACGCACACACACACAGAGCTATGCAGATCTACACTCCGGGCTGTATTTAGAAACAGATTTTAAAAGAGTAACTCATTCCATGGATCTTAATTTCGTGGATTGAAAAAGAAAAATAAAAAAATATCCTGAGCAGTGATTTAAGGCGGAACAGCACATTTATTAAAAGTGAATTTGGCTTAAAATTATGTATATTTTGTGTATGTGTGTCATATGAAGTGCTGCTTTCTTGAACATCTTTAACAGCACTCCTACGTTCATTTTGATCACGGCTATTCTTAGCAACATCTAGTGAAATAAGTCATTGCTTTCTGGTCGCGATAACCACAATGTTGCTGTTAAAACAGTTCATCACTTGGAAGGAAAACCATTTAATCAGTGTTCCTATATAAGGATATGTTTTAGTGTTTTGGAGGCTTAACATAAAATAGCAAACCAGTTTCCCAACAATGCATAGAGGCGCTCGTTTTGTTTCACACTTTAGTCACTTGAAGGATTTGAATGGGCTGGTTCTTCGGATGAGGAAATTCACATAGACCAGCGGAGAATTTACTTTAACTGTTGTTGGAAGTGATAAAGATACAATAGGTGAGACAAAACAGGCGCTTCTCCTCGCTTAGCAGAAATAATTTAACTTTATTTACACTGCCGTACCCCCGAGTGTCTGAAACTGTGTGTATGAAAAGGCTTAATTTATCCTGCGATGGAGGTTTTTTTAAGCCTTTTTAGCCGGCTGGGATGTGCAGGGGTGGTGTTTGCTGCAGCAGCTCCCCGGTGGGTCCGTGCAGGCTTTGGGCAGCACCCCCCCCCTGTTTCCAGCCCTTCCAAAAAGGTGCCTCACGCTGCGCGGGGTGGGGGGAGCGCTCACCGTTTCCCACTAACCTGGGATATTATTAGGGGCGAGATGAGTCGTTAGACCCGAGTTCCCCTCGCCCACACGTCGGCGTTGGTGGTGGGCTGCTTAATTACACCTGCCGTGAGGGGAGGGAAGGCAGTGGGTGATTTATTCCTATTGTGGCCCCGGCTGCAGAAGGGACGGGGGGGACAAGGGAGCAGGTCCCCCCCTCGGTGGAGCGTGGGGTTCCCGTTGCTCTCCTAGAGCCAGAGACCGGAGGCTCCGGCTTCGCTGCCGGCTGTGGAGGGGCAGCTTTGGGATGGATGGGCTCCCCGAAACGTAGGAGAACCAGGAATTGTCCAAATACTCCCTTAACGCCCAAATAATTAGGGGAAACAACTTGTTTGAGTTGTTTTAATGGCTGGTCAGATTCCTTATAGCTCATTTCTTTTTTTTTTTCTTTTTTTTTTCCCTTCACGACGGCGTTAAAATGCTTTGCTAATCTCTAGCCATCTGCGTGAGCTGGGAGTTGTAGATGGGAGCAGATAAGGTTGTTTCAGACACCTGTGCCGTGGGTGCCCGTGTAACACGTACACACCTACACCCTTCAGGGAGAGCCTCTGGCGAGTTCCCTGCATGTGCTCACCTTTTGTTTCTGAATTTAACATTATTAATGCTGGCTGGACGTTGCTCTTCGCTGAAATGTGATTTTTCCGTGAGGAGTTTTCTCTGATACATCGTTTCTTGTACTCACATGTTTTACGTGAAGTGGCTGATAGTTTGGGGGTTTTTTTTCTCCAAAAAATTCTTTCGAGAATTTTGTGTTTTCCTCTGCCGTGCAGCTAGAGCTGGGAGTGAGATAAAATAATAGAGTCTGGAGAGGTCGTGTTGACTTCCAGCACCGCAGCTAACAAAGAATAACCAGATCAAATTCACTTAAAATCCCAGGGCCAGTTTAATGGGTTTTTGCTTTGCCTGGTTGGACTGAACCAGAACAATTTCCCCTTCAGTGAAGTGTTGATTAGTATTCTCTAGAAACCCAGTAATTAAGTTCTGGTGGGCTTTTGTTTTTACTTTTTAATTGAAATCTCGAAGGTCCCATACTGCAGATGCCAGGTGAAGATGTCCATACCTAACCTAGAACCATGCAGGTGTTGGTTGGGGAAAATTGAGAATATATTCCTTTGGCCGTTGGGCTCGTCTGTCCGAGCTGATGGGCACGTGCAGCGCAGCACAGCTAGTCCTCATCTCTGAGTTTTTGTTAATATTTCATCATCAGACCGAACCTCTCGTTTGATGGAGCCAGCAGGCCAGAACTCTCCACGAAGCAGCGCGTAACGGCTGTAAATTACTACCAAATATATTAACAAAGGTCAAATTTGGTCCAGATGCAGCTGGGAGCCTTTGTTTTCTTTCTCTTCCGAGCGTGTTCTGCTGCGTGCTTTTATTTTAAATACTGCTAAATTCTTTTGGAGGCTTTACCAAGGGACCGGGCTTGTTTACTGGGAGCGAGTTTGTCAGAGCTCTGGTGAGGTATTTCCAGGGCTTAAATGCTGCTGGAAGCAAGAAGACGTGGTTGGGAAGGGGCTCGTGCTGTTCTAAGGGTTGCTGGAAAGGAGTTGGCGGCCGGAGCTCAGCGCACTTCACCGCCGTGGATCTGTGATTCCCGATGTTGCTTTGTTTGCTTGAGAGGGCTGCTTAAACTTACACAAAGAATTTTAACAGTTACGGGGGAAAAAAAATATAATAAAAGCTGTTACCTTTGCCAAGAAGTTCCGTGCTGGACTCCAAAGATAGGGAATCCACCTCTTTAATAGATGATCTGGATTAGGGTGCAGATTTATGGGGAGAGAATACTCCCCTTGCATATTGTAGGAAAGAGCTCAGTGTGCATTGGGTTTGGGTTTAATGTGATCTTTTAAACTCTTCTGACCTATTAAAAAAAAACAAAACAAAACAAGAGAATCAGGAGGTTGCCCCTGCTTGGCTTGGTGTGAATGGCAGTGATACTCTATTGTTTACTTTGACCGACTGTCATTTTTAATATTTCCTACCAGAAAATGGTCCTGTTTAGAAATGTTTTCCTTTGTTTTATAAACAGTCTGCAGCAGTGTGTTTGTAAACCTTTATGGTAAATATTAGAGAAGGAAAGGGGCAGAGTTTTCAATGTTATTTGCTAGTGCTGCTGCGATGCAGTAAGATAGTTAATGCAGAAAGTGTGTGAATTTATTGGCATTTCAGTAACTGCCGTGACCACTTCACTGCCTTCACATCCTCCCGTCCCTTTATTAATTTTTGGTCTTTAAATTTCCCTGTTCCCCCTGTGTTAGTGGCCAGTGTAGCTGTATTTGAATCAGTGCAGCTCACCCATTTGGTTTGTGTCACGGTGCATTCTTTTACCAAAGTCTGGTATTTTATAAGGGCACGTTTAGTTGTGAGGTCAGTTTTAACTGGGAGGTTTTGTACACGCTGGTGTGGGAGAGTGCAGGAGACAGACTTTGGGGGGATATATTT